CTCTGTATATTGGCCCTGTGTGGTTCATTCTTTACCACAGCGGTTCTCAACCTGTGGGTCGCGACCCCTTTGGGGTCGAACGACCCTTTCACAGGGGTCACCTAAGACCATCGGAAAACACATATATAATTACATATTGTTTTGTGATTAATCACTATGCTTTAATTATGTTCAATTTGTAACAATGAAATTGGGGGTCACCACAACATGAGGAACTGTATTAAAGGGTCGCGGCATTAGGAAGGTTGAGAACCACTGCTTTACCACAAAGCATTGGTTCAAAAGCCCACTGGCGCTAAACTCAAAATTTCACACATCCAGTTGTTTTCAACACAGCCCAAATGAGCAGATTTTAGCCATTTGAAGCATGCTTGCTTTTCATACCCATAAAACTGTGCCCAACAGCTGCTGCCCTTTGCAGCTCTCTAATCCAAAGACTTCCCTCTGGGCTGCAGAGGGACATCACCTACAGTAAACATGTAAGCCCCTCTCTGGTTCCCTTCTCCCCAGGGAGTTTCCTTTCACCCCTCCCCTGTTGGGTAGCGTGGTCCCCTTGCCTTTGTCTCTGGACGGTCTCATGCTTTGAGGGACTTCCCCCATATGCCAACCTGTCAAAGTATTGCCTGAGAAGCTCAGGTGTGCTACTGCCTCCCGTGCTCATATCTTTTTCCTGGATCAGCCTTAAAGTCTCAAAAAGGAGGTGATTTACCCCAGCTGGTGTGACTCTGTGGTTGAGCTTCGACCTATGAACCAGGAGGTCACTGTTGGATTCCCAGTCCAGCACATGCACTTGCCTGGGTTGTGGGCTCAATCCCCAGTGTGGGGCATGCAGGAGGCAGCTGATCAGTGATTCTCTCTCATCACTGATGTTTCTATCTCTCTCTCTTCTTTCCTTTCTGAAATCAATAAAAAAATATATTTTTAAAAGGAGGTGATTTATTCTTTTGTGATGTAAGCTGGCTTTGATGATCATTACCTGGAGCATTTATAACTTGTGAAGAGTTACATGGAAGAGAGGGCATGTATTTCCAGAATGTGGGGCAAATCACTGAACTAGGTGGCTTGATGCCTGAAATCAATGTGTCAGCAGGGCCACGCTCCCTCTGGGACTCTAGGTAGAACCCTCTGCGCCACTTCCTAGCCTCTGGTGGGTGCCCTTGATTCTTGGCATTGCTTGGCTTGACTGGCATCACTCCAATCTCTGCCTCTGTCAGCACATGGCCTTCTCCTTATGTATCTGTCTTCACCTGAAATGATCCTCTCCTTATAAGGACCTAATTCCTGTTGGGTTAGGACCCACTTTAATGGCTTCATCTCAACTTGATTACATCTATTTCCAAAAAAGATCACATTTTTTTATTGGAATGTGCTTCATTATTGTTTTGCCAAAGGTCTTCATGTATTCCTGACACAGTGTTTTAGCAGATATATGATTCGAGAATAGTTCCTTGGGTTCTGTGGCTTGTCTTTCTCACAGTCTTAAATGGTGTCTTTGGGAACGTAGTTTTTAATTTGGATGGAACCGTCTTAGAAAAAGTTATTGCAAATGTTTTATGCCTTCAGAATATAGAGGATTTTCTTATATAAGAAAAAAACAGTAACCTACCAAGGAAGAAATTGATAAATTTAACTCTTAAAACAAAGAGCAATATCCTGAAATGAAGAATAAAGGGACAACAGATAAAACACAGTCTGGGAGAAAATATTTACGGTTTCTACAATTGAAAAATATTCATATCCAAGCCCCAGCCGGTTTGGCTCAGTGGATAGAGCGTCGGCCTGCGGACTCAAGGGTCCCAGGTTCGATTCCGGTCAAGGGCATGTGCCTTGGTTGCGGGCGCATCCCCAGTGGGGAGTGTGCAGGAGGCAGCTGATTGATGTTTCTAGCTCTCTATATCTCTCTCCCTTCCTCTCTGTAAAAAAAAATCAATAAAATATATTTTTATTTTTTTATATATTTTATTGATTTTTTTTTTTACAGAGAGGAAGGTGAGAGGGTGCAGCTGCCTCCTGCACACGCCCCCCCCCCCCCCCCTGGGGAAGTGCCCCCAACCCAGGGAAAAGCTCTTGACCGGAAACCAACCTGGGACCCTTCAGTCCGCAGGGCGACGCTCTATCCCCTGAACCAAACTGGGCTCGGCATGTCTTTCTTTATGCTTTGATGTCATTGACCCTGTTTTACAATTTCTCATTATGATCACTTTATATCCTTCAGTAGACATTGTACTGGAAAAGCCTACAGTTGTCCTCCTGTCTTTCTCCTTTACTTTCACACCGAACACTTCACTTCTGACACATTTGGCCACCAGATAAAGGAGCATTTCCACTTAAGAAGCATTTCTGTGACACCAGCCGGATGTCCTGAAGTCTCAGTTCTGACACTCTCTGTCTACCTGGAGATAGGATCGGATCCCAGAGGCTAAGAGCTCAAGACCCACGAAACTGCCCTTAGTGCAGATGCTCGTCACAAATAGTAGGTCCCCAGGTTACCCACAGCTTCTGTGGACTTGGATACAAATTGAGGTTCTCAGGACCTCCTCCTCCATTAATTTGTTAGAGCAGCTCACAAAACTCAGGGAAACACTGACTTATGTTTACCAGTTTATTAAAGGAGATAATAAAGGATACAGATGAATAGCCAGGTGAAAAGAGGCACAGTGTGAGGTCTGGGAGGGACGTGAGCGCAGGAGCTACTGTCCCTGTGGAGCTGGGATGTCACCGTCCAGATGTGGGTGTGTTCCCCCACCTGGACGCTTTCTGAACCTTGTACTGTTGGGATTTTCTGCAGTCTTCCTGACGTAGGCATGATCAAGTATAAACTCCATTTCAGCCCTATCCCTCCCTGGAGGGTGTGATTAGATCTGAACATTCTAACGTTCTAATATTGGCTGGTCCTTCTGATGACAGCCTCCTTCCAGGAGCTCCCCAGAATCACCTCATTAGAACAGAGATGTTCATAGTGCTCTTATCACTTAGGAAATTGCAGGGGGTTTAGGAGCCTTGTGTCAGGAACCAGAGAACAGTATGTGTGTGTATGTGTGTGTGTCTCACAGACATACTTTAGGACTTTAAGAAAATTTGTAATAAATGAAAATTTATCAATATAATTTTTTTATTGATTAAGGTATTACATGTGTCCTTATCCCCCCCCATTGCCCCCTCCCATTCATGCCCTCACCCCCCTGGTGTCTCTGTCCATTGGTTAGGCTTTTGGTTGTCAATATAGTTTTAATGACAATGAGATGTCACCTCACCACCTGTCAGAATGGCTACTATCAACAAATCAGCAAATCATCAACAAATCAGCAAATGACAAGTGCTGGCGAGGATGTGAAGAAAAAGGCACCCTCGTGCACTGCTGGTGGGAATGCAGACTGGTGCAGCCATTATGGAAAACAGTATGAAGTTTCCTCAAAAAATTAAATATGGAACTTCTAGGAATATATCCTAAAAGACCCAAAACACCAATCAGAAAGAATGTATGCACCCCTATGCTCATAGCAGCACAATTTGCAATAGCTAAGATCTGGAAACAGCCCAAATGCCCATCAATAGATGAGTGGATAAAAAAGCTGTGATACATTTACACCATGGGATACTATGCAGCAGTAAAAAAGAAGAATCTCTTACCCTTTGAGACAGCATGGAGAGACCTGGAGAGTATCATGCTAAGTGAAATAAGTCAGTCAGAGAAAGACAAGTATCACATAACCTCACCCACATGTGAAATCTAATTAACAAAATAAACTGATGACTGGAGTGAATCCAGAGACATGGAAGCATGGAACACAGTGCAGAATCTCGGAGGGAAGGTGGGGAAGGGTTGGTGGGTGGGAGGTAATCAACCAAAGACCTTATATGCAAATATGCATAACCCATGGACACAGACAGTGGGGTGGTGAGGGTCTGGGGTGGGCTGGAGGGTGACAATGGGGAAAAAGGGGGACATATGTAATACTTTCAACAATACAGATTTTTTTTAAGTACATATGTTGTTAGTTAATGTGATCAGTAGATCAATGAGTAAAGTTACTAAGGAAAAATAAAAATAAAATTACATCGTTTCACATAAAAAGATAAAAACCACTTAATCTAATCACTATGCTGTTACATCTGAAACTAACACAAAATAATATTGAATGTAAACTGTAATTTAAAAAACCTTTTTACATTTTAAATATTTTAAAAGAGCAAAATATAAAAGGGATAATATGTTTAACACTCAATTTACAAATATAAACAAAATTTTGCCATTTTATTTTAATTTTTTAAAATGTGTTTTTATTGATTTCAGAGAAAGGAGAGGGAGAGAAAGATAGAAACATCAATGGTGAGAGAGAATCACTGATTTGCTGCCTCCTTCATGCCCCAGACTGGGGAATGAGCCTGCAACCGGGGCATGTGCCATGAACAGAATTGAACCATGACCTCCTGGTTCATAGGTCGATGCTCAACCACTGAGCCACACTGGCCAGGCAAAATTTTGCTATTTAAAAAAAAAAGGGGAGTCCCAGCAACTCTTAACTGTTGATGATATTCAGCACATTACTTTGGCTTTCTGAGCCTATTTTCCCAACTGTAAATTTGACTAAAAAAATCACTAAATTATAAAAAAAAAAAGTCCAAGGTAATAAAATATGTATAGTATTTTAGGGACAAAGAAATATTTCTTGTCTCAAGTTTTCATATCAGCAACATGGACCAGAAATTAATATACTGGAAATCACTGTTAAGGATGAGCTATTTACAAAGTCAATATCATATTTACAATAATTAAAAGATTTCATTCCTGCTCTGAATTTTCATGTACAAAATAAGTGAAGTGCTATATCTGAAGATTTTTCCTTATTCTTTCCATCCATACAGTTTTATCTCCAGTGTGTTTGCTCACACCACAAATTTTAAAGGAAGAATGAAGGCATCCCATGGTTCTTGTATTCAGAGTTTCTGTTCACTGTATGTCTTCACATGTGCCTGCAGATACTCAAGATACGTGAAAACCTTCCCACATTGCTGACATTCAGGTATTTTTTTCACTGTGCGTTCTCACATGTTTTCGCAGGGATGTGGGATACCTGAAGGCTTTCCCACATTGCTGACATTCATCAGGTTTCTCCCCAGTATGTGTCCTCACGTGTACCCGCAGGTTGTCAGGATACCTGAAGGTTTTCCCACACTCCTTACATTCATAGGGTTTCACCCCAGTGTGTGATCTCATATGTCCTTGAAGGGAGCAGAGACGACTAAAGGCTTTCCCACATTGCTGACACTCAAAGGGTCTCTCCCCACTGTGCATTCTCACATGTATTCGAAGGGATGAGAGAAAACTGTAGGATTTCCCACATTCTTTACATTCATAGGGTTTCACTCCACTGTGTATTCTCATGTGACCTTGAAAATGTTGAAGCTGCCTAAAAGCTTTCCCACATTCTTTACATTCATAGGACTTCTCCCCAGTGTGTGTTCTGACATGTTTTTGAAGGTAAGAGTGACTAGTGAAGGCTTTGCCACACTGCTGACATTCATAGGGTCTCTCCCCAGTGTGTGTCCTCACATGTACTCGCAGGGATGCAGCATACCTAAATGCTTTCCCACAGTGCTGACATTCACAGGGTCTCTCCCCAGTGTGTGTCCTCACATGTACTTGCAGGTTTGCAGGAAACCTGAAAGCTTTACCACATTGCTGACATTCATAGGGTTTCACTCCACTGTGTGTTCTTACATGCCCTCGAAGGGAGGAGTGACGACTAAAGGTTTTCCCACAGTGCTGACATACATAGGGTCTCTCCCCACTGTGTGTTCTTGCATGTTCTTGCAGATTTGTGAGATACCTGTAGACTTTCCCACACTCCTTACATACATAGGGTTTCACTCCACTGTGTGTTCTCACATGTCTTCTAAAGTATTTAAGACTACCGAAAGCTTTCCCACATGCCTTACACTCATAGGATTTCTCTCCAGTGTGAGTTCTCACATGTCCTGTAAGGTAAAAGTAATACATAAAGGCTTTTCCACATACTTTGCACACATGGATTTTTTGTCCACACTGACCTCTCACATGTCCCCGAAAGGATGAGTGGCAGGTGAAAGCTTTTCCACATTTCTTACATTCAATAGAGTTTTTATTACTGAGACTCTTCACATATTTCTTAGCTGCTCTCCCAGTATCCTGACATTTATAGGGTTTCTCCACAAGATCAGTTTCCTCCTGAGTACTCAGGCATGAAACCAACCTGCAGGGTTGTCCACATTCCTCACAGGGATGAGGTTCGTGTCCAGTGGGAGATCTCTGCTGATTTATAAGGAAAGAGCAATCCTTGAAGACTTTTCCACACTTAGTGCATTCATAGTGTTTAACTCCAGGGATATGTGTCTCATCCACAGGAAGATCTGTGATCTGGTTCAGGGTGTCTCCACATTGGTTACCTTCCTTAGTTTCACAGAGACTCTCCACAAAATGACTTCTATTCAAAACAGGAAACACACTATTAGTGATTAATGCTCATAAGTGATTTCTTTATTACTGATTATTGATGGTTCTAATGACCACATTTACCATTTTCAATGCACGGGTATGTTTTTGGTACTGTCTGCATTATTCCATCATGAAACAAGCTTATTGCTATGGCTGAACTAAAATAGGGCCATAACTTCCAGTGTTTCTTACATATGGGGTCTCCTGATCATGGTTTCCATCTGAATTCTGTTTCAGACACTCAATAGCTACATCACATGTATGAAAATAGTGTCTTGTGAAAATTCTCTGAGTACCCTACTGATTAGCTAGCTAGGTTTGTACTTTTTCTTTAATTTCAAGTTAGTCTAACACTGCTGAGATCCCCTGTTCCCCTGTGCCACTCACCCCAGATGCCTCTCTTGAGGTTGTTGCTCATCTGCAATGTTATAAACTGTAAAGTTTTCTCTAAAAACAGACCAGGAATCATTCCTTATGAATTGTAGTATTTTCTCTTCACTGGATATTTCATTCTCCAAATTATCCTGCCCAGGACATGATGCTTGGGTTTTAACTTGCGTGAAACAATCTGTAACAACTGATAGCATAATTAAATTAAATTCCTGGGGAAAAATGGTGAAGTAAAGAACAATGTATGGATTTATTTTCATATACTGACCCAAAAGTATAAATAATTTTTATAAGGAAGAATAAGTTTATAAGCAAAGAAAAACTCTAAGGACCTTTGCTATTTGGGACTTTGACAATAATAGGAAAAGTGAGTCAAAATGGCAGCCTGGTCACTAAGAAATACTATTAAAAAAAGATAAAGACCAAATAAATATAAATGTTATAAAAAAATGCAAAGTAGGGAGGAACGGCAGAATGCACATGCCCAAATGTTCCCTTTACAGGAGATGCCAAAGTCTTCCCAAGTGAGTGAGGATACAATAAAAAGTCCAACAGGAATGCAGGGTAAATGTAAAACATCTCCCTCTCAAACACAGGGTGAGTCACGTTTCTAACAGATTTGTCCAAATAGCAATCCCTTATCCAGAATCTATTCTTCCTGCGGGTTGTTGTTCTCTGAAGTTCTCAGACACAGAGGCCCTTAAATGAAGCCTTTCTTCACAGCCCCCAGCTGCCATTAGGAGATTGATGGTGTGTTTGGCTGATGCCCTGCCCCTGGAGAAAAGGTCCTCATGATGGAGGATGGAGGGCAACACACAATCAATGAGAAGGGCCTCATGGGTGAGAACCATAAAGCTGTTTTCACAGCAAACTGGAGACTATGCTCATTCTTATAAAAATTAGGAGGCCTCAGACTTTTTTTCAAGAGAAATAAAAAGTCAACTTAATATATAAAACTTTTTTTATCATGAAAAAGATATTTGACTCTAGATATGTTCCATGAAGGCTTGGATTACATAAGTCTTTTTTTTTTTTTTTAACATATTGCCCTTCCTTGGACCCAATAAAAAAGAACAATTGTAAGAAATACTTTTTCCTTAAAAGACTAAGTGAGGGATAAAGCCATCCTTACCCACTGAGGCCAGGTTCCTGAAGGTCTCTAGCATCACTTCTCTGTAGAGCTTCCTCTGAGCACCATCCAGCAAAGCCCACTCTTCCCGAGTGAAGCACACAGCCACATCCGCAAAGACCACCGTGTCCTGAAACATCCCACATATTCTGTTTCAACAGGGCACCTCTTCACCAGCATGTGCAGGAGGATGGGGGAGGCTGGAACAGAACTCATTTCCTAGGACACCTAAGCTCATGCTCTTTTGGGAAATGACATTAAGCAAGCAAATAAAATGCATTATCGTCAATAGTGGTAAGAGCTTGGAACCATGAAGCAAAGTACAAGAACAAGTGATATAAACTTATCCTATATAATAAAAGCGTAGTATGCAAATTTCCCCCGGGAGTTCGACTGGGGGTGGGGCCAGCCGGGGGGAAGGGACGGAGGCCCTGGCCAGCAGCCAGCAGCCACTAAGGACTCTACCCGTGCATGAATTTTGTGCACTGAGCCTCTAGTCCAGCGGTTCTCAACCTGTGGGTCATGACCCCTTTGGGGGTCGAACAACCCTTTCACAGGGGTCGCCTACGACCATCGGAAAACACATATATAATTACATACTGTTTTTGTGATCAATCACTATGCTTTAATTATGTTCAATTTGTAACAATGAAATTGGGGGTCACCACAACATGAGGAACTGTATTAAAGGGTCGAGGCATTAGGAAAGTTGAGAATCACTGCTCTAGTCCATACATAATTTAAAAGAATGGCTTTTACTGTTATATAGCAGATTCTGAGTATGTTAAAGACTGAAAATGAGTCCTGGCTGGTTTTTCTCAGTGGTTAGAGCAGGGGTGGGCAAACTTTTTGACTCGAGGGCCACAATGGGTTCTTAAACTGGACCGGAGGGCCGGAACAAAAGCATGGGTGGAGTGTTTGTGTGAACTAATATAAATTCAAAGTAAACATCATTACATAAAAGGGTATGGTCTTTTTTTTTTTAGTTTTATTCATTTCAAACGGGCCGGATCCGGCCCGCGGGCCATAGTTTGCCCACGGCTGGGTTAGAGCATCAGCTTGTGGACCTAAGGGTCTCAGGTTCCATTCCTGTCAAGGGCACATGCCCCGGTTGCAGGTATGCAGTAGGGGGTATGCAGGAGGCAGCCTATCAATGGTTCTCTAATCATTGATGTCCCTCTCCTTTCCTCTCTGAAATCAATAAAAAATATATATATAATCAATAGAAAAAAAATATCCTGGGGTGAGGATTAAAAAAAAGACTGAAGATGAAGTCACTGTTCAGATAATGTAGAATCAGATACTTGGCTCCTCAATAGTTATTGTCAGCTCCAAGACCTGGAACCAGGATGTCAGACAGTCATGAACACTGAGATTCCAGTGCTGCTTGATCTAAACAGCTCTCACCTTGTAAGTCAGCAGTGTTCTGGAGCCTGGTCTAGTCCCCTCATATCTGACAGAGGCAGAGACACAACCCCTCCCCCGCTGAGGTGGACACTGTGGGCATAGGTGTAGGCCAAGCCTGGGGCCTGGCACACCGGTTGGGTAAAAGGGGAACTTGGTTCCTGAAGAAATTTTCAAGCCAGCACAGCCTCACAAACAACCTTGTGCCTGGAATATGAGAAAAATCGTCCCACAAAGAAGAATTACTGAAGGATCTAATGGTAATAGAGCTAAAGGCGACTCTAACAGAGAGAAAAAAACTACCTAATGTGTATTTTAGAGCAATGTTGGGTTGGATGACATCACATCAATAAAATAAAGGGCAAAAAATTATTTTAAAAGTTGAAATTTTTAAAAACTGTGTTCTCTCAAAATCTAAAAAAAAACAAACAAAAACAAAAAACCACACAAAACCAAACCCACAACTGTATCAGGCACAGAAAAGGCAACACTACATCAACCAGGGTTAAACTAGGAATTGCTAATCACATACCTGATACCAGACATAACTACATACAGAAAACTCACAGGACCACAATTTTTAAAAAGGCAACAAGATAAAGACAAATAATATAATTAAATAATGGGCAAAGAATGTGAGCAGATACTTCTTAAAAGGAAAAATTCATATGGCCAATAAGCACCTAAAAGATTCTAGCCATTAGTCATCAAGAAAATGCAAGTCAAAACTAAAGCAGGTATCTGTTCACACTACTAAGATGGCTGTGAGACAGACAGACAAGTACTGGTGAGGATGTGAGGAAGTCAGAACCCTCACACATAGCTTATGGGAAGTAAAGTAGTGAAGCCACTTTGGAAGATAGCCCAGCAGGTCCTCAAAATGATGAACATGGTTACCACAAAACATAGCAATTCCATTCCTGTGTGTTTACATAACCAAGAGAAGGAAAAACAAATATCAACACAAAACTAGTAAAGTGTCCCAAAATTCACGCAAGAAGTAATTTTGGCCCTAACCGGTTTGGCTCAGTGGATAGAGTGTCGGCCTGCGGACTGAAGGGTCCCAGGTTCGATTCTGGTCAAGGGCATGTACCTTGGTTGCGAGCACATCCCCAGTAGGGGGTGTGCAGGAGGCAGGTGATCGATGTTTCTCTCTCATCAATGTTTCTAACTCTATCCCTCTCCCTTCCTCTCTGTAAAAAATCAATAAAATATTTTTTTAAAAAAGAAGTAATTGATAGAAAACACAGGTTTATAATTAAAAATTGTAAATTTTTTATTGATTCATAAAGTATACAGTATAGGGTTATGTATGGAATAGCATATCAGGTAAATGGCCTCCACGGCTTTGCTGGCACATACGCACTCTTTTGTTGAAATTTTCCATGACCGTTTTGCATAAATGTGGCTGAATTTTGATGAGGCTCATTTTCATCTTGATAGCTTGGTTAATCGACAAAATTGTCGCATTTGGGATTCAGAAAATCCACAAGTGATTGTTGAGAAACAAATGCATCCACAACGTGTCACTGTTTGGTGTGGATTTTGGGCTGGAGGCATCATCGGACCATTCTTCTTCGAAAATGCGGCTGCTCAGGCAATAAGAAAAGAGTGCGTATATGCCAGCAAAGCCGTGGAGGCCATTTACCCGATATGCTATTCCATACATAACTGTATACTTTATGAATCAATAAAAAATTTACAATTTTTAATTATAAACCTGTGTTTTCTAACAAAATTACTTCTTGCGTGAATTTTGGGACACCCTTTATTTCTCTCCCCCTCTCCCTTCCTCTCTCTGAAGTCAATCTATAATAATAAAAGTGTGATATGCTAATTAGACTGGACGTCCTTCCAGACAACCTTCTAGACCAGCGGTTCTCAACCTGTGGGTCGCGACCCCTTTGGGGTCAAACGACCCTTTCACAGGGGTCGCCTAAGACCATTGGAAAACACATATATAATTACATATTGCTTTTGTGATTAACCACTATGCTTTAATTATGTTCAATTTGTAACAATGAAATTGGGGGTCACCACAACATGAGGAACTGTATTAAAGGGTCGCGGCATTAGGAAGGTTGAGAACCACTGTTCTAGACGAAGCCAGGGCTGCGAGGGAAGCCCGACCCAGGTGCCTGCCGGTGGCTGGAGGGAAGCCTGGGACCCGGGTGCCAGAGGGAAGCTGGTGCCGGCAGCCGGGGCGAAGGAAGACCTACTCCTTCGTGCATTGGCCTCTAGTAAAAGTATATTTAAAAAAAAGACTATGCCTATGTAGCAAAAAGGGGATGTGGGTGTGATATATAGGGTGTCCCCAAAAAATATATATACACTTTAACAGCTGATAACTCAGTTTTCAATCCTTTTCAGATTTAACTGATTTAAAATAATGGGTGAAGCCAGACTAAGCTTTGAACAAAGAAAATTTATTCTAAAGTGCCACTAGACTTTTTTAAATGGGGATACATCAACTTTATCTGCAGTACAAAACTGGCAACAGTCGACAAATTGAGGGCACACAAATACAAACGAAATAATTCCTAATGTTTGCAATCCATTGCTTGGCATTATCAGCAGTGCCTGGACCAGAACAGTCATCAGTTTGAAAACAAGCATTGAAAAAAAAATTAGTCATTTCTGTATATTCTTTTAAAATTTGAAAATGAGCTGTATGTTAATAAACACTGACTTTATAATCACTCAAAGTGCATATACATTTTTGGGGGATACCTTAAGAGAAAAGAAGAGGCAGGTGCTAACACGAGTAACTTGTAGCCACGTGGCATGTGCTTGTTAAAAGCAGTAAATAACTAATGGGCCCACTTGTTTATACAATAATACTCCTTTCAGGTGATAGGAACCTACTTATCAAGAGGTGAATTGGTACTCAGCTAGCTTCACAATGATGGCATGGCCATGTTAAGTAATGAGAAAAAATTTAGGCTAACTATGCTTTTTATTGTTATGTTAGACTGTACTTTTTATACTTGTTTTTAAAAAGCCCTGGCCTGTGTTTCTCAGTGGTTAGAGCGTCAGCCTGCACACCAAAGGATCTCGGGTTCAATTCCTGATCAAGGGCATGTACCTGGGTTGCAGGTTCAATCCCTGTCTTGGATCAGAGCCAGTGTGGAGGCAACCAATCGATGTGTCTTTCTCACATCAATATCTCTCTCTCCCTCTCTCTCTCTCTCTCAAAATCCATAAATAAAAAATTTTTAATGTCCTAATATAAGAATAATTGCACAATCTGTAAATATGCCAGATACCAATGAATTTTATAAATTAAATAGGTAAACTTTATAGTATGTAAATTATATCTCATATAAAACTGTTGTTAAAAAGTTCAGACAGCCCTGGCCTGGTGTCTCAGTTGATTGGAGCATCATCCCATACACCAAAGGGTTGTGGGTTCGATTCCCAGTCAGAGCACATACCTAGGTTGCAGGTTGGAGCCCAGGTCAGGGGGCATACAGGATCCATGTTTCTCTCTCTCACCGGAATAGAACCTGAAGCCTTTTGGTGCACAGGACGAAGATCGATCATCTGAGCCACTCCAGCTGAGCTATTTTATTATTTTCCATATGAATAACTGTAAATCTATTTTTGTCCCACCCTGTATATCCTCCTTAAACTAATAGCATTTTCATTCAAATTCCATTGAATTTAACCAAATAAATTAAGAGTAGGAAAATGGAACAAAACTTCAGATGTTTCATAGATTAAATACACCGAGGAGATATTACAACTTATGGGAAGAGATTTTTTTTAATATTAGATGTAATGGGATAAATGTATAGAAATCAGTAAACATACCTGAGATGACACAAGAGAACGCCTGAGAATGTCTGTGTTCTTTAAAGAAACAAAATCAGCTGATTCTACTATCCCCACATACTAAATGCAATTCTCAAAGGGTTCCTAGGCCAGGTACTAAATATTCAAAAATCAGTGGTTCAGGGGCAGGGAGTGAGATGGAGGAGGTCATTGGAGGAGAAAGGGGGGAATCTAATATTTTCAACAATAAAAATAAATTTAAATAAATAATCAGTGATTCCAAATTGTAGGGGAAAAAACAGAGTATTACCAAGACCAGAAAGGGACAATTCAAAAAAATATTCAAAGGCAACGACATTCATAAATATAGAGGCAAAAGGCGTTTTAAAAGGCAATCTAGCCCGGCTGGTGTGGCTCAGTGATTGAACATCAACCTATGAACCAGGAGGTCATGGTTCAATTCCTGGTCAGGGCACATGACCCGGTTGCAGCCTTGATTCCCAGTGTGGGGGTCGTGCAGGAGGCAGCCAATCAATGATTCTCTCTCATCATTGATATCTCTATCTCTCTCTCCCTCTCCCTTCCTCTCTGAAATCAATATATATACATATACATATATGTGTGTGTGTGTGTGTGTGTGTGTGTGTGTGTATATATATATATATATATATACACACACACACATTTTTAAAATGCTTTTTAAAAATATTGATTGTTCAATGAGTACAATTTATCCATTCATGAAAAAAAGTCACACTAACCATAGGCTTCCAGTCTATAGATGCTGAGGACATGCTGGTCTCATGTCACTGGTCATTGATGACAATACAACTTAAAGATCAGAAGGGAACAATCAGAAAGAAATGGTATCTACATAAAGCCCAGAGACAACTTCCTATTTAACAGTGAAATGTTACAACTGTTCCCTCTGAGATCAGGAACAAAAAGGTGAGGGTGGGCATGTATACGATTGTACACCTGTGAAGGCCTAGCCAGTGCAGCGATGAAAAACAACAATGTGGGAAAAGATTTACAAAGGGAAAACACTAAACTTCACTGGTACCAAATGTAAAGATTTAGTATTTAGAAATCTCCCAATCCTACAGACAAATTATTAACTTAAAACTGATCATAGCAGGGGTATTAGTTAAAATACAATATTAAAAAATCAGTATCACCAAAACCGGTTTGGCTCAGTGGATATAGCGTCAGCCTGTGGACTGAAAGGTCCCGGGTTTGATTCCGGTCAAGGGCATGTGCCTGGGTTGCGGGCACATCCCCAGTAGGAGGTGTGCAGGAGGCAGCTGATCGATGTTTCTGTCTCATCGATGTTTCTAACTCTCTATCTCTCTCCCTTCCTCTCTGTAAAAAATCAATAAAATATATTTTTAAAAAAATCAGTATCATCACCAATAATACATCTGATAATGGGTTAATATCCAAAATTATAAAGAACTCCACGTAACACACACACACACACACACACACACACACACACACAAATCCAATTAAAAAAATGGATGCCCAGGTGGCGTGGCTCAGTGGTTGAGCGTTGACCTATGAACCAGGAAGTCACAGTTTGATTCCCGGTTGGGGCACATGCTCAGGTTGTGGACAGGAGGCAATCAATGACTCTCTCATCATTGATGTTTCTATCTCTCTCTCCCTCTCCCTTCCTCTCTCGCAAATCAGTAAAAAAAAATATATTTTTTAAAAATGGGCAAAGGACCTAAACAGACAGTTTTCCAAAGAGGACATACAGATGGCCATTAGACATGAAAAGATGCTCAAAGTCACTAATCATCAGAGAGATGCAAATTAAAACCAAAATGAGATCACCTCATACCGGTCAGAATACCTGTGTGCATGTTCCCCACAATTATTATTATTTAAAATATAAATATATATACACACACACATATATATAAATATATATATATATATATAAATATATAAAATTATTTTAGTCCAAAGCCTATGCCACACCCAAGACCATTGAAATCTCTGGGGTGGGACAAAGGCATTGTTAGCTTTTTGTTGTTGTTGTTGTTAATCCTCACTGGAGGACATTTTTTCTATTGAGTTTTTGTTTTGTTTTTTTTAGAGAGTGGAAGGGAGAGGGAGAGATAGAGAGAAACATCAATGTGAGAGAGACACATCAATTGGTTGCCTCCCACACACACCCTGACCAGAGCCAGGGATTGAGTCTGCAAATGAGGTACATGCCCTTGACTGGAATGGAACCCACGACCCTTCACAGTCTTACTCAGTCTGCACAAATCACACTTAACTCCAGCAACTCTGTGGATGATGCCAAACCAACTATAACAAGTCATAATTCACAACGTTTGCATTAATCTTTGACATCAAGTGTCACAGACTCTGCACCCTGAATGGAAGAGTCACTATGGTTTTTACTGTGGATCTCCACCAACCTTGCATGAAGGTGGGAAGCTGTGTGCATGTTCCCCACGATCCTGTAAAAGAGAGGACGTTTACTGTATCTGAAACACTTTCTCAGAGGCACCTCTGGTTAAGTGGGGGAATATGAGTCAGCAGGACGGACAAAGACCTGAGACACTGAGCCACCCTCACTAACATGGAGAAACCCGAGGCTGGAATAAGGGAAAGCTCCTAGCGCCGAGCTGGACACAGAAGAGGCTGCACAGGCGCCTGGTGACAATGCTGACTCAATCCTTCCTGACCCTGTTCTCCTGGAACATCCACGGAAGGTGAAAGGCACCACCCCAACCACTTGCTCTGGAAAAAGGCACATTGCAGGAACCACCGACTTAGGTAAGACTCTCAGATGTCTCCCACGTTTACCTCTGACAGCGCCAGAGGCAGACACCCACATCCCCATTCTCTGGGCCTGAATGATCGGCTGTGTGTTCCTCCAAGCAGAGCTTGGCTGAGCTGCTCTCCTGACCCCAGAACCCTGAACTCAGGCCTGTCCTCCGCCCCCGGACACCCTCTCCTGAGGACATGCTGGCCTCCGGGGCTGCTCTCCCAACCACACCAGGTCCCTCCTACCTTTGTGGACTCCTCTCCATAAAAGCAAGACTCGGAAAGCCCACTCCTGAGACCCCTGCCGATGGCACGGCCTGAGAGTGCTCCCTGCTGCCCAGCCTCTGCCCAAGTGCAGTCCCCGCTCCTCGCCTGCGCAGGAACCCTTTCGAATGAAAATCTCTCCTTACAAAGCTTGGACTTGTTCAAACTTCACGGGCTTGACCAAGTGGTCACAATTTCCCACCCTTTATCCAAGCTTTCCTAGTTTATGTCCTCCCGACAGGCGCAGACACTGGCCCCATCCTGTCTGAACAAGCACGGAGACGCCAAGCCCGCTGACCGGAGCTGAGTGCGCTGACCGGAGCACAGGGTGGCAGGTGCCGTCACGCCGCCTTCCCGCTCCCCCTCCTGCCTCGGAGAAGAAAAGCCCGTTTCTCCCTGGAGGCGGCACAGCTCTGGTCCCAGCCTGTCCCCACTGCACAGTCTGAACCAAGTCCGATTCGACGATATCTGTCGGGTCCAGCCCAGGTCCTCCCGGCGTCCATCCCGCCCCCAGCCCCTGGCCGCCCGCGATGGCGGCCGTCTGGTCCTTCCTCGGTCCCCCTGATCGGCCAAGGCCTCGGAGCCGAGACACCCTGCCACCGAGAAAGGACACTCGGGAGGATTGGGGGAGTGGGGGACGCGCGGCTTCCAGCCGGTCCGAACCAACACAGCCCGGCCTCGGCCCGCTCCGCGCACTCACCATCTCGCGACCTGCTCCGGGCTCTCGGGGCGGCGTCCTCTCCGCAGCCCGGGAAGCGGGAAAAGATGACAGGAACCCAGGCCCCGCGCGGACCCGCGAGAGCGCCTCCGCCGGCGGAGAGACCTCGGCGCAGGACGGCAGCGCCCGCTCCAGGTGAACGCGCGGACCCCCGCTGATTGGCCGGAACTCCAGGCTGGCCCTTCCTGATTGGGCACAACTCCGTCACGCCACCAGGCCGTAATTGGACAGTTTCTGAGGACTCCCCCCTTCCCATGTCTTGATTGGGCAGCCCCTCAACCCCGCCCCTGCTCCCCTGATGTTGCTCTGGGCCCCGCCTCGGTCTCCCCTCATTGGACAGTCACAGACCCGGCCTGAGCAGCGGGCGGGGGTCGCGGGCTGTGGGCTTCAGCCTCCCCTGCTCAGCCCAAGCCCTGCGTTCAGTTGTTCTTCGCAGCACGAAGCGCGCCCTGTGAGCCTGAGCCCGTCCCCCGCCAGTCACTGACCCCAACAGCCAGAAACAACGGCCATTCCTTGACTAAGGGTCTCAAGGTTTGAGTTTCTAAGAAGCTAAAGCTAAAATCACGGCCTAAGTTGTGTTTCAGCTCCTGAGCCCTCAGGCAGAAGGACCACTGGCCACGTCCCCATTAAACCGAGGGACGCCGATGCCGACCTAGAGATCTGAAATGATGATTTACTGCCCTCATCTCATTCTTGACCAATCAGCAAGACCCACGACCCCAAATCCCTTACTCATATGACTTGTGATTTTGCTCTATACAACCCCTTGTCCATAAAAATTCAACGAGTTAGGGCCTTTGGGCTTCAGCTGCCTGTTCTCTTGGGTGGCTCCATTCATAATAAAAATAACCAACCTTTCTCCACTACAATTCTTGGTGTTTAGTGTTTGGCTCTCCTAGTGCCAGGTGGTGGAACTTTCTGTTTGGTAACATTCACCCATTGATAGACATGTCCACCTTTTGGCTATTTAGAAGAGTGCTGCAAGGTGCATTCATGTAACCTATTTGAGTGCTGTTTCAATACAGGTGAGAGGGAATAGTAGGGTCATATATAACACGAGGTTTAACTTTCTGAGAACCGCCAGCTCTCTTCCATAATGGCTGCACCATGTCACATTCCCACTGGAAGTGTACAAGGGTCTCCATTTCTTCACATCATCCCTTTTTTCTGAATTGCTTCATTCTAGACATCTTAATGGGTAGAAGTGGTATCACCTTGGGGGTTTGATTTGCATTCCCCTGGTGATTTGTGATGTTGAGAATCTTCTCATGTATTTATTGCCATTTGTAACTCATCTTCTGAGAAATATCCATTCAAGTTCTTTGCCCATTTTTTATTTTGTTTTGTTGTTAAATCTCACCTGAGGATATTTTTCCATTGATGTTTAGAGAGAGTGGAAAGAGGGGAAGAGACAGAAACATCAATGTGAGAGATACACTGATTGGTTGCCTCCCACATGTGCCCAGGGGTCAAGGGCCAGGGGTCAAGCTGCAACCCATAGCGCCCTTGACCAGAATGGAACCCAGGATCCTTCAGTCCGTGGGCTGATGCTCTATTCACTGAGCCAAAATGGTTAGGCTTTTCCACATTCCAGACATTCATAGGGTTTCACTCCAAAGGCTTTCCCACACTTTTTATACTCACACGGTTTCTCCCCGGTGTGTGTTCTCACGTGTTCGTGTAGGTAGAAGTAACAACAGAAAGTTTTTCCACAATGCTTACATGCATAGGGCTTCTCTCCAGTGTGAGTTCTTACATGTCGTGTAAGGTAGGAATAATATCTAAAGGCTTTCCCGCATGCTTTACAGGCGTGAATTTTCTGTCCACAGTGACCTCTCACATGTCCCAGAAAGAATGAGTGGCAAGTGAAAGCTTTTCCACATTTCTTACAATGAAAGGAGTTTTTACTACTCAGACTTCACGAATCTCTCAGATGATCTCCCAGTATCCTGACTTTGGTAGTGTTTCTCCACAAGGCCTGTTTCCACATGCGTGCTTAGACACAAGACACACTTGGAGGCTTTTCCACACTCCTCACACGGGTGAGGTTTGTGTCCAGTGCGAGATCTTTGCTGATTCAGAAGGAAACAAAGATCTGTGAAGATTTTTCCACACTTAGTACATTCATAGGGTTTAACTCCAGTCAGATGCCTCGTGCACAGGAGGATCTGTGATCTGGTTCAGGGTGTCTCCACACTCATTGCCTTCATTACTTTCACAGGGAGTCTCCAGCACATGACTGTCCAAAATAGGGAGCACGCTATTAGGGACTAAAGATTGTAAATGTCGCCTTGGCTGGTGTGGTTAGAGCGTCGGCCCATGCACTGAAGGCTCAAGGGCACATAGCCACCAATCAGTGTTGGTCTGTCACTCTGTCTCTTTCTTTCTCCCCCTCCCTTCCTCCCTTCCCTTCTCTCTAAAAATCAATGGAAAAAAAGATCTTCACTCCTTGGGTGAGGATTTAAAAAAAGAAGAAAATAGCATCGTGTGTGTGTGTGTGTGTGTGTGTGTGTGTTTTAATCCTCGCCAGAGGATACCTTTTCCATTGGTGTTTTTAGAGACAGTGGAAGGGAGAGGTAAAGACAGAGAGAGAAACATTGATGTCAGAGAGGCACATTGATTAGTAGCCTCTTTTTTTTTTAATATATTTTATTGATTTCCCACAGAGAGGAATAGACAGCCAGAAACATCGATGAGAGAGAAACATCGATCAGCTGCCTCCTGCACACCCCCCACTAGGGATGTGCCCGCAACCAAGGTACATGCCCGTGACCGGAATCGAACCCGGGACCCTTCAGTCCGCAGGCCGACACTCTATCCACTGAGCCAAACCGGTGCTGGCGATTAGTAGCCTCTTGCATGTGCATCGACCAGGGCTGCAGATTGAGCCTGCAACCGAGGCATGTGCCCTTGACGGGAATCGAGGGCCAATGTTCTAACCACTGAGCAAAACCAGCTAGGGCCTATGCCAACAGGCAGACATCCCCCGAGGGGTCCTTAGTGCCGCTGCAGAGGCGAGAGGCTCCCACCACTGCTGCTGCACTCGACAGCCATGAGCCCAGCTTCTGGCTGGGTGACGCTCCCCCTATGGGAGCACACTGACCACGAGGGGGCAGTTCCTGCGTTGAACGTCTGCCCCCTGGTGGTCAGTGCATGTCATAGCGACCAGTTGTTCCACCATTCAGTCAATTTGCATATTAGCCTTTCATTATATAGGATATTTTTATTGATTTTAGAGAGGAAGGGAGAGAGAGAGATAGAAACATCAATGATGAGGAGAATCATTGATTGGCTGCCTCCTGCACATTCCACAATGGGGAGGGAGCCCGTAACCTTGGCATGTACCCTGAATCGAACCGTAACCTCCTGGTTCATAGGTCAATGCTCAACCACTGAGCCATATGGGCCGGGCATGACTCCTGTTTTTATGGGGTTGAACCAGACATGTTGCTGGGGAAAAGTGTCTCAATACAAAAAATGTCCTCTCTTCCAGTAGAATTATGAGGGGAATACACACAGTTCCACACCTTCATGGGAGGTGGGTGGAGATATGGATTATCAGTGGTTGAGTATTGTCCCTCACTGGGTCTGAACATGCCCAGGTGTGGGGTAAAGGGGGTCAATGGAGGAAAAAAGGGAAGATCTATAATACTTTCAACAATAAAGATAAATAAATAAATCCTATATAATAAAAGCCTAATATGCAAATCGACCAAACAGCAGAACGACCAGTCGCTATGATGCACATTGACCACCAGGGGGCAGACGCTCAATGCAGGAGCTTCCCCCAGCCCCCAGGCCCCAGGCCAGCCAAGGTGGGTGCCAGCAGGGCCCCCCCCCATCACCCCGCCGGTCACCCTACAGATTGGCCCTGATCGCCGGCCAGGCCTAGGGACCCTATCTATGCACGAATTTTGTGCACTGGGCCTAGTGAATAAATAAAGTGTGGCTCAGTTGGTTGAACGCAGTCCCATGCATCAAAGGGTTGCCAGTTCGATTCCAGATCAGGGCACATACCCAGGTTGTGAGTTTGATTGTTTCTCTCTCTCTCTCTCTTTTTCTCATCTCCCTTCTATTCTCTCTAAAATCAATAAAAACATACTTTTAAGAAAAAGAACATGTACATCCATGACAAACCCACATGGAAAATTTAACTTTAAATAACCACATATCAACCCAGCTGGTGTGGCTCAGTGGTCAAGCACTGACCCAGAAACCAAGAGGTCACAGGTTCGAATCCCAGTCAGGGCACATGCCCGGGTTTCAGGCTTGATCCCCAGTAGGGGTCGTGCAGGAGGCAGCCGATCTATGATATTTCTCTCTCATCACTGTTTTTATCTCGCTATCCCTCTTCTTTCCTCTCTCTAAAAATCAATAAAGGGAAAAAAAAGTAAATAACCACATATCAGATGCATCAAGGATTTTAAGTATCCTTAAAACAGTGGCTTCAGGCCCAGCTGGCATGGCTCAGTGGTTGAACATCTTACCTATGAACCAGGAGGTCATGGCACATGCCTGGGTTTCGGGCTCAGTCCCCAGTGTGGGGCATGCAGAAGGCAGCCAATCAATGATTCTCATCATTGATGTTTCTATCTCTCTCTCCCTCTCCTTTCCTCTCTGAAATCAATAAAAATATATTAAAAACAAACAAACAAAAAACAGTGGCTTCAAGAGGAATCTTTATGGTAATGAACCGATTTTGGTGGCAGTGTGCATGAATCTACATCATAAAATAGCACAACACACACACACACACACGTGTACACACGCACATGCATGTAAAACTGCCAAAATCTGAACAAACCCTTTGGATTGTACCAATGTTGACCTCCTGTTCTTTTGTTTTTAAATAGTTTGATTTTTAGAGAGAGAAACATCGATATAAGACATGAGAGAGAAATGTCGATCAGAGCGAAACATCCATCAGCTGCCTCCCGCAGATCTCCTGCTGGGAATGAAGCCTGAAACCTGGGCACGTGCCCTGACTGGGATGACACGCAACCAACTGAGCCACACTGGCCAGGGCTCTATCTCCTAACCCAGGCGC